CACAAATAAAAGCAGACTATCACAGATCAATGTTAACAATTATAAGTACCAAGGACTATTATGAATCAAATTATGAAATAAAATTACCTTAATTTTTAAAAAGGCTCAGTTCAGGAAAGCATGAACTTACAGTATGACCTCCCTTCACATTTAATCTTTAAATATGTTTATATTTTAAAACAACGAGAGAAAAAAATATTTTCTTGATTATTCTACTCTTATGTGTCCTAATCATTCATCTCCCCCCCTCCTTCTCATCATATTGAGTTTAAAGTTGAGAAGGATTTCTGAACTGTACCTAATATTTATGTAGGATAACACAGAACCACCTGGCAATCTTTCTCTATCCCTACTTTATTAACTTATTCAATCCTTCATTCAATGAGTATTAAAGAATCACTATGGTTCAGATCTACACAAGGTACCATAAAAAAAAAACAAAACTAAAGCACAAATGAGTTACTGAATTGAAGAATTTATAGTTTGCCAACACTGTATGGCATAAGACAGGGAAAGCTTCACAGAAGAGATAAACTTTAATGGGGATAGGGTTGATAAGGAAGACATTCCTACAAAAAATACCAAGGCTTAAAATAGAACAGTAACCTGTTCAGAGGGTCACAGGGAGTTCTACACAGCCAGATCAAAGGACACAAAGGAATGTGATAACAGACAAAACAAGAAAGATAGGCCTAAAATACCAACAAGAAAATATCTCAGTCTTTCGGAAAACTCAATCTAGGGCTGTCTCATAAAACTACAGAAATAGCCTCTAATACAAGAATTCTTTACTTTTTTTTGTGGCACAGACCTTTTGGAAACACTGCTGAGTCCTACTCATCTGTTTTCAGAATGTTAATATGTATATAAAATAAATGAGATTCCAAATATTTTTTTTTAAGATACTCCATCCTTAAGGTAGTAGAGCATAAGTATGATCTATGTACATGGTGTTTAAGACATTACCTTAAAACATGGTGTCCTGACATTTGAGTAAACAGCAGAAGCAAGAGAGTCACTCTCACCTCCCTCTCATCTATCTCCCCTGAGGCCAATCATGTAACCTGTGAAGGTCATTCGTGACCTTTTCACACCCACCCTTCCTCAAACAAATCATAAGATCCTCATTAGATAGATGTTCTCCCTATCCTAAAAGAAAAAGAACATTATTATCTCTGAAGACACAGAGAAGAACCTGAACAGAGTTCTTGCTAAATTTCCCTCAATTTATTACCAGCAGATGATTGCCCTTTGTCCAATCATACTTCTCCAAGAGTATCTTGTCATCAAACCTAAACATAAGTTTACCCGTTTCTTTGGGTCTTCATTTCCTCATGAAGGCTCCTTTGTCATGCAAAGCTTACCTAAATCTGTATGTTTTTCTTTTGTTAAAACGTCTTTTATCTCGGGGGAGCAGCCATAAACCTAGCAATACTATTCCACTTCCAAAGAGTACAATATAGAAAAGAAGCGGGGTCTAAAGGCAACTTTACAATGGAGAAACCTGAAAGACACTGTACACAGCCACCAGATAAGGTTAACATCAATAGTAGTAACTCAGGTTAATTTAGTAGAATATACCCTTGATAAATAATGTGATGAAAATGGCACTTTTATTTCTCTGACCTTCATCTCAAAAACATATTAACCAGTCTATCCATGAGAAGATCATCAGATAAATCCCAACCAGAAGACATTCTACAAAAATATGTGGTTAATATTCTTTAAATCCATTAGTCATCAAAATAGGAAGGTTTGAGAAATTGTCACAACCAAGGAAGGGGTCTGAAGGAGACAAAAATATTAAAATATAATGTGGTATCCGGATAAGATCCCATTACAGAAAAAGGACACTAAAGAAAACTAGGAAAATCTGAATTAACTAAGGACTTTAGTTAAAACACATAGCAACATTGGTACAATTATTGAGAAAAATGTTCCATATTTATGTAGGATGCTAGCAACAGGATAAACAGGGTATAGAATACCTAGGGTATACTATCTTTGCAATAATTCTGTAAGTTTAAAACTGTTCTCAGATAAAACTTCTTAAAAAATAAATAACATGTAGTGGACTAGAAAGGAAACAAATTACACTGAAATTTGTTTGTTTGTGCAGTACTGAGGATTGAAACCAGGACCTTGTACATGCTAGGCAAACATCCTCCCACTAGCTATATCCTCAGCCCTTTTTGTCTATGTGGTACTAGGAATTGAACCCACTGAACCATACCCCCAGCAACATTTTAATTTTATTTTTGAGCCAGGGTCTCACTAAGTTGCTAATAGACTGGCCTTGAACTTGTGATCCTCCTGCCTCAACCTCCCAAGTCTGAAATTTCTATGGTGAGTCATATGTACTGCTAACAGTTCTGCAGTTTCTGGTTTATTTCAAAATGGAAGAAACAATTTCATTTAAAAGCTTACTAAGACTAAATATGCAATTATTTTCCTTTCTAAGTTCAAAGAACTCTTGAACTCCACCATAAGAATCCATCCTCTAAATGGAAAGACAGAATAAGTATTAGTACCATATGTACACTGTATTACAGGATCTCTGATAATCACTATATATACTTGGTGTCATTAAACCTTCAACAGTACCATCCACAGATTGGGCAGATGTGACTAAAACTAGATACAAATGATAGCACAATTCCAAACGAAGACTGACGAAACACATCTAAACACATCCTAATTTTGAGGAACACCCTACTGAATACACTACAACTCACCAATGGTTCTATTATATATGTATTTTATATCTGTATATAATTTATATATATAAACATATATTTATTTATATAAATTATATATATATAATGTTTTGTTTGTGCAATCAGGTTAAAACTAAAGTATAACATTTTCTAGAGTTCCACAGGAAATCACCACCACGATTATCACCATCACCAGCTAACCCAAAGAAAAGGGTAAACATAGAAGCTCCCCATCCTTGTGCAAATCTAAAAAATAAATTTTTTTATTCCATTTTCCAAGTAACACATGCACAGTTCCTGTCTTTCTAGAGCAGGTATGTACCCACATATGCTTTTTAATTATACTTGCAAGGTGAGATAATTAATACATATTTTATTCAGGCTATAGCAGTTTCTTGGTTGATCCAACTTAGTATTACCAATTCTGTTTTCTTAGAATAAGTTGTTTCACAACAATGATCAATCTCATAAACTTCATTTTCAACTTCAATTGTAATTGGCCGGCAAACTTAAAGCAGATTTTTGAAAAATAATTACAGTATTCAATAATTCCTCTAAGTTTATCTTAAGAATTTCTTAGTTGATACAGGCTATTCCACAAAAGCTATATCCAAATAATGATCTCTCCTACAATATGCCACTCTATCAGGAATTATAAGTAAACATATTTAGATCTGAATTCTCACCTACAATATGCCACTCTATCAGGAATTATAAGTAAACATATCTAGATCTGAATTCTCAGTCTGTCCATTACCATGTATGAAAATTGTTACAAGCCACTTTAGGTTTCTAGGTTTTAAACTATAAGTCACTACTGACAACTGAGAGTAATAAGAAATCCTTACTATGTAAAAATTAAAGGAAAAAAATCGTTGTAATAAAATCACTGAGCAAAGTGTCAAACATTATTTGTACAATGGGGTTTACTTTTAAGTTGCAAATTTTCCCTAGCAATGATTACAGAGGATCTTTGCTGCAATATTATTTTTCTGTTAGCTTTAGTTGATTCTTTAAATAACAAGAGTTTTGCTCAAGAGAAGGATTTTATCTTTCTTTGGAAGAAGCCAAGATCATCTCCATTTAAGGACACACAAGCAGCTGCTGCTACACGTTTTAGTTACCCACAAGAAAGTAATGCAGGCTAAGTTCACTCTGCTATAAAGCATTTAAAAATTTTTTAAATGCAAATAGTTTCTCCAAAATTAAAGAGGAAATTTAAAAATTAGAATATGCAAATATGCTAAGTAAATCTAATATATAGAACAATAAAATTATATAAAAAGAAAATAGAAGATACCTTCCTCCTCAAAAGTATTCTTTTCTCACTGATTAACTATCTTAGGTAGTTAAAAGATTATACTTAATAAAATTTCACATATGTAATAATTTATAGGAAAGCAAATCATACATAAACATAAGCCTTATTATATGCAACTGATTAGGAATCTACAGGTATTTTAATTATTTTTTGCTATTTTAATTATTTTTTGCTATTAAGTTACCCTTATTATTTTCTCAGCTTTAAAAAAAATGTAGTAGAATTTTGTGGTAATTTAGTGCAGTTATTTTTAAAAAATCTTAAATACTTAAATTTTTAAATTGTTATTTTTCTTGGGATGATACATATCAGTTTAAATAGGGAATTATTATTCATAAATACATTGTTAAACTGCTAACTAAAAAAACATAATTTAACTAGTTCTTAAGATAAAGCTGAGTTTTTGCTTTTGTTTTTTAACCAAAAACAGTTATTAGCCTGGTTTTATCATGTACATTCCCTCCCCCATACACATAGATATGAAGCACAATAACAAAGTTAGGAAAAGGTATAAAATTTGATTCTGTAAAAACATTTTTGTCTTGCTAGAAGCTACCATTATGAAGCTGCAATATTAAAGAAAGAGCAGCAAAAAAAAAAAAAATCAATGAAAGCTGTTTCACTGAAGCCTGTATTATCATTCTCATTGTATTAAAATTCCTATTACAATAACTATTTAACTCTTAAAAGTCATTACCATCAATATACAATTATATCTAAGCCTGAGATGCACAAATCTTTTAAGGACAGCTTCCTATTGCCCCAGCTTGCTTAATTTTTTTTTTATGTATCCGTCACATACTTTTTAAAAATTAAAAAAAAAAAATGAAGCACTAAGTGTTAATGACCTTTCTATACCTAAAGTAAGATAAATAAAGTTCTAAAGGTTGGTTGTGATATGACTATGACTAACCAATCATAACTTCGGAATTCCTGTGTGACATCATAAGGCCTCCCTAGAACAGATTTTCTCCTCCACCTACTCCAACCCTTCACATAAACCTGGTAACAGTCAGAAAACCTACCAGCTAAACACCCATAAGACTTCACACAAGTTGATACTCTTTATTGTGATGACCACAGAAACCAAGGTAAGAAACAGACTTCACTGATTTTTATAATTCATACTTTTTGAACTTTTAAAAAGTGTTAATCATATTTTCTATATTTCAGTTTTAAGTTACAATAAAATGTTTGCTATGACAAAAATGCTTACTTTCTAAATAATTGTTTATCCATTTTGTGACAGTGAAAATGAGACTTAATTTTGAAAAGCATCACATTCATTTTTGATACTGGTTATTGACTTGTTATTTTAACTTTCACTTATATTTTGCTTTTTGAGTGAATTTCTGCCAATTTAAGAATCTTCCAATTATGTTACCTTATTTGGTAGTAGGGTGGTTTAATTTTTCTATACCAGAAAAAAATTGCTTAATTTATTATATGTTATTCTGCTGAAATATAGTGAGCTATTTACATCTGGAATAATATCAAAAGTTGTGTGACAACATGCACATTATCACAATACCTCTTCTAATATTGTTATGATTTCTTACAGTGATACTAATAAAATAGAGCTTAAGAATACACAATACTTTTAAAATGACCTTGAAGATTTTTCCTCTCTATAAAGTCCAGTTAACTGTTAATAAAGACTTCTAAAAATTCCAGGCTTTAATAAATTGAACTGTTTCTATTTAATTCAATACTATATCATAAAGAACAAGTTTAAAAATTTTAAAACACTTGTCATAAACATACATAAAAGTTTTTCTGAAATTATAGAATAATAATTCAACATTTTAAAAATGTTTGGTACCTAAACATTCTAAGTCTCATTTGAGCAAATCTGATAAAATGTTTATTCTGCCTATTAATATACTTTTGTCAAGTTATTATACCCCAGTGTTTCTCAGATTCCTCCAATAAATTTATAAAAGAAAAATAATACCTAGGAATAGAGATGCCACAATCAAATGTTTCCTCATCCTTAAATCTGTCAAAGCATATGAAAAATTATATATTTTATTTCATTATTTTTATATTTTACCTATATGATCAAATAAAATCTACATTTAGAATTCTCAATTCCTATGATAGTTGTTAATTCCATCACTCGAGACAAATACAAACTTCATAATCCCATAAGCAGCTTAACACATGAAAACATGTATTCATAATTTTTGTCTACCACTGAAGCACTCTAATTGCCACTCAATATATTTATATTCATAAAATATTTTCCTTTGGTATATTATATAACTAACTCAGCACAAGTTTATATGCATATTTATGTACTTGTATTCAAATACGATTTAAATTACATTCTCACACTGTAAACGGGGTATTTGTTGAGTTATTTCACTCTTAACAGAATTTCATATCACATTACTCCAAAAAGTAGACAAAGAGCAGAAATTCTATTAAAGTTACTGTTAGTGTATGTATAATTTCTGTAAGTCTGATATACACTAACAGTTTAAAATATTGACAACACTAAGTGTTGTTAACATTTTAAACATAATGCCATAGTCCAGACATCATGTCCAAACTAGTGCATTTCTAAGGTATCATCCACATACTGTCATCATTTATAAAGACATGTGCTTTAAAAAGTACGTGCTAAAATGTGTTGAATGAAATCAAATGGAATAAATATGAAAGATTTGTAAATTATGAAATGTTAAGTTTTAAAAACAGGTGTCAGAGCTGGCTTATTTACAAAAAAAAAAATCACATCATTATCATTTCCTAAAGTTCACATATCAAAATTATTTTAATAGGATCTTAGACATACAGAAAAATAACTGTATTTGGGTTACACACTGTTTATTAATCTTATTGACTGGAGACAGTAGAACAGCTGCTTAAATAAAACGACTCAAGAAAAAATTAGTATATTTAACAAAGATCCTAAAATTATAGTCTTAAAATTTTATAGTGTATTTTAAATGTATTATATAATGTATTTACTATGTAATATATTAAATAATGTCATATGTTAAAACTTTAATTGAAAACAAAGTATAGATTTCCTATTTAAACAGATGGTAATTCTAGAAGATAGTGAGTTTAAACATTCTTTATTATTGAAAAAGACTTTCCTTAAATGCACTGTGGACACATATTTCATTTAATCTTCCTAATTCTCTAGGTTTTGTATTGCATCTCTCCTTCATAATTTAGGAAACAGATGCAAAAAAGTGAACTATTAAAGGTTCCCCTATTCACAAAACTATGAATAGAGAGACCTTGGCAAGAGTCTAGGTTCTGACTCTAAACCATATGCACTATACACTAATGAACATGACAATAATAAATCAAGACATTGACAAAACAAATAGAAAGTGATATATATTGCAAATGGCCTTTACCAGACAAACTAAGAGAATATGAACTTCTATTAATTTAAAACCACTTCATTTCATTTAAATTTAATTTATACATTTTATCTTTAATAAGCTAAATATATGTTCTACAAATCATCTTTAAAGTTACAGATGTCCTTAGTTATAATGCAATAAACACTAGTAGGAAAAAATTCAAAATTATCACACATACTTTGAAAAACAATAACACAAATTAAATTAAATCAATCAAATTCAAGTTTCCTGTTATTTAATTTGTTTAAGGGATGAAAACATACCTTCAAATCATTTAGGCTTGATACCTATAATCCAGCTTAATTTTTGTCAAAACTTTCCACATGTCTGGTATAGTAGCACATGCCCGTAACCCAACAACTTGAGAAGCTGAGGCAGGAGGATCACAAGTTTAAGGTTAGCCTCAGCAATTTATCAAGACCCTGTCTCAAAATAATAAATAAAAAGGAATAGAGATGTACACACTTCAGTGGCAAAATGACTCTGGGTTCAAAAAAAATAAAAGAAAGAAACTTTCCACAAAAATCATAGTTTATTCCACTCCCATATTATATCCTTAGTTTTCCTCAATTTCATTGTTGTTTCAATTATTCTACCATGTAAATATTCAAGTCCATTTGTTTTGAAGTACTTGAATAAAGGAACCTTGCTTTTTTTTTTTTTTTTTGGAGAGGAGGATACCAGGGATTGAATCTAGGGGCACTTAACCACTGAGCCACATCCCCAGCCCATTTTATTTATTTATTTATGTTAGAAGGGAGTGACTGATGACTGAGGATTGAACTCAGGGGCACTCAACCACTGAGCCACCTCTCCAGCCCTATTTTGTATTTTATTTTAAAACAGGGTCTCACTAAATGCCTCCCTTTTGCTGAGGCTGGTTTTGAATTCACAATCCTCCTGCCTTAGCCTCCCAAGCCGTCATTTTATTTTTTGAGACAAGGTCTTGCTAAGTTCAAGGGCCTTGCTAAACAACAGACTTTGAACTTGGGATCCTCCTGAATCAGCCTCCCAAGTGCTGCTCACACTGGTGAAATTTTCCTTTCATTTATTTATGAATAAAATTCACTTTCATTTGAAGTGTGAATTGACAGAATGCTACTTGTACTGGCAAAGGAGCAAACTTGGAGTCAAGAGAATCAAGAAAATAATCCTAAATTACAGTGGCATGTATCAGATAAGAATCAGTCTCTCTGGACACCTCCAGAAATAATTCATCAATATTCTTACCCTACATAATTCTGAAGCATGTATTACCAAATAAACACATAAAAATAAAGCCTGGGTGTACATCTCCACTTCAGTATAGTCACAGTCAACTGAGGACCTCTAGTGCTTTGTAAAGTGTACTCCATCTTCTGGGCTTTAAAAAAAAAAAAAAATTAGATTCATTCACATTAATTGGGATATACTTATTAAATGCCAATCATCATTCCCTAAAACTTCTCCCAAATTCCTTCTCCAACTCTCCTTTAAAAAAGTTCCACATATACATAGTTAAAAGGAACATTTTAATGCAAGTGAATTAACTGTAAAACATTATTTCAACAGGTAAAGAACTGAAAGTAATGAAGACAAAATAACAGCCACATGCCAATTTCAGAGGGAAATCTCTCTCTGTGCTACAGCTTAATGAACTGTCCTCAAGGCAGAGCTTAAAAGCTAGGAACACTGCATTTTGGGGGTCAAGTTAGTATTAAGGAATATATTGATTTTTATGTTTATATAATTATTTTCATAACCAGTTAGAATCAGCTTATAGATTCAGAAAGCTGAATCTTTCCTTCTTTCAATTTAAAAAAAAACAAAAAAACCCAACCTGAAACTAAATTTTTTTTCTCAATTTCCAATGCCTTCTTTGAGCAAAAGAGAAAAGACTTGATAAATTCCCCAAAGAAGAGTAAAAAGTTAGTTATACCCTTCCTATACTAGAATATTAGAATATTAATGGATCTCACATACAAACAACATACTCTGTGGGTACTTTCCTGTTTCTTACATGGAACTCAAGAGACAAGGATCTGGTATTCCTATAAACCAACTTCTATCAAGTAATTCACATATTTTCAGTACTACAATACTAAGATGTGGATTTTT